TTCTAATTCTCCCCTTCATTCCCCTCCACCCTGCACACCCCCTCCCCCACCATTCCCCCCTTTAGTTTATGTCCACATGTCTCAAGTTCTTTAGATTCTATATTTCCTTTACTATTCTTGCCCTCCCCACTATCTATGTACCTACCGTCTATGCTACTTATTTTCTGTACCTTCTCCCCCCTTCTCCTCCTCCTCCTATTCCCCTGTTGCTAATCCTCCATGTGATCTTCATTTCTATGGTTCTGCTCCTGATTAAGCTGTCCTCTTAGTTTGCTTTTCTTTTAGGCGTGGTTGTTAATAACTGTGAGTTTGCTGTCCTTTCACTGTTTGTATTTTTATCTTCTTTTTCTTAGATAAGTCCCTTTAACATTTCATATAATAAGGACTTGGTGATGATGAATTCCTTGAATTAGATCTAATCTGAGAAGCACTTTATCTGTCCTTCTATTCTAAATGAAAACTTTGCTGGATAGAGCAATCTTGGATGTAGGTCTTTGGATTTCATGACTTGGAATACTTCTTTCAAGCCCCTTCTTGCCTGTAAGGTCTCTTTTGAGAAATCCTCTGACAGTCTGATGGGAACTCCTTTGTAGGTGACTGTCCCCTTAGCTCTTGCTGCTTCTAGAATTCTCTCTTTCATTTTAATGTTGGCTGATGTAATGATGATGTGTCTTGGTGTGTTCCTTCTTGGGTCCAACTTCTTTGGAACTCTCTGAGCTTCCTGGATTTCCTGGAAGTCCATCGCCTTTGCCAGATTGGGGAATTTCTCCTTTATTATTTGTTCAGATAAGTTTTCCACTTGTTGCTGTTCCTCTTCCCCTCCTGGTACCCCTATAATTCGGATGTTGGAGCGTTTAAAGATGTCCTGGAGGTTCCTAAGCCTCTCCTCATTTTTTTGAATTCTTGTTTCTTCATATTTTTCTGTTTTGTCATGTTTTTCTTCCTTCTGGTCCACTCCCTTGATTTGATTCCCAGTTTCCTTTCCATCACTATTGATTTCCTGTGCACTTCCCTTCATTTCAATTAGTTTAGCCTTCATTTGTTCCTCTAATTTGTGACTAAAATCAACCAGGTCTGTGAGCATCCTAATCACCAGTGTTTTGAACTGTGCGTCTGATAGGTTGGCTATTTCTTGGTCACTTAGAGTTATTGGCTCTGGGGCTTTGAGCTGTTCTTCTTGAGCCATGTTTTGGTCTGTGCATGCCTGTTACATTTGAGGAGCAAAGCCCTGGGTGTTCACCAGGGCGGGGCAACTCAGTCGCTGGTTTGTGATGATGCATGTGGGGGTGGGGTCAAAGAGGGGCAATAGCAGTCCCCTCTGCTGCTTCCTGCAAGCTGCTGGGGCCTGCATGGTCTGTCTCACTGCTTGCTCCTTCGCCTGGTTTATCTGTGCGTGAATGTGTGACCATGGTCAGCCTGCCGCCTTGCACCCTCACTGGGTCAACCTGTTGCTACTCCACACCTGGGATCTGCCAACGGCTGCCTGAGCACCTTGGTTGGTCCAGGGGATCTTTCCTGCCTGACCCCTCTCCACTGCTGGCTCTGTCCCTCTTACCAGTCTGGCTGAAATGTTCGTTGTTGTCGGATTTCCATATAGTTCAATTTTCTGTGTTTTGGATGCATTTTTGTTACTAAAACTTTGTTGTCTTTAAACTTGGTTGTGCGAGGAGGCACAGTGTTTCCACCTGCACCTCCATCTTGGTGGAAGTGCTCAGAAGTTTCATTTTTAATGTTTTGAGAAACTCCCTTAGTGGCTGCACCAATCTGTAGTCACACCACAATGGATGAGGGTTACCTTTTCTTCACATACTAGACAACATTCATAATTTGTTGATTTATTGATGATTGCCATTCTGACAGGTCTGAAATGGTATTTCATTATGGTTTTAAGTTGCATTTCTCTGATGATTAGTGACATGGAGCATCTTTTCATATGTCTATTGGCCATTTTTATGTCCTAGTGTCTATACAGGTCCTCTAACTCTTTTTGAATTAAATTTTTTTCAGGTGTTGATTTGCATGAGTTCTTTATAAATTTTGGCTATTAACCCCTTATCAGATATGTCATTAGCAAATATCCTCTCCCATTAAGTAGGTCGTTTTTTTCATTTTATCGATGGTTTCCTTTGCTGTGCAAAAACTTTTCAGTTTGATGTAATCCCATTTCTTTGTTTTTCTTTTGTTTCTCTTGCCCAAGAAGATATATTAGAAAAAATATTGCTATGAGAGATGGCCAACATTTTGTTGCCTATGTTTTCTTGTAGGATTTTTATGGTTATGAGTCTAACATAAGTCTTCAATCTATTTTGAGTTTATTCTTGTATATGATGTAAGAAGCTGGTCTAGTTTCTTTTTTCTTTGTTTTGCATGTGCCTGTCCAATTTACCCACCCTTTATTGAATAGACTGTCTTAACCCTATTGTATATTCTTGCCTCCTTTGTCAAATGTTAATTGACCATAAGGCATGGGTTTATTTCTGAGCTCTCTATTCTGTTCCATTAATATATATGTCTGTTTTTATGCCAGTACCATGCTGTTTTGACTATTATACCCTGGTAGTATAGTTTGATATCAGATGGCACGATACCTCCAAACTCATTCTTCTCTCTTAAGATTGCTCTGGCTATGTGAGGTCTTTTGTGTTTTTACATAAATTTTTGGATTATTTGTTTTTATTTCTGTGAAAAAATTATTGGTATTTTGATAGAAATTACAATGAATCTATGGATTGCTTTGGGTAGTGTGGACATTTTAACAATGTTAATTCTTTCTATCTATGAACATAGTAGATACTTCCACTTAATTGTTTCTTCTTCAATTTCTTTCTTCAGTATCTTATAATTTATGAGTACCATACAGGTCTTTTACATCCTCAGTTAAATTTATTCTTAGGTAATTTTTTGATGCAATTGTAAATGTTTTCTTAGTTTCTCTTTATAATAGTTCATTATTGCTGTATAAAAATGCAACTGATTTCTGGGTATTTATTTTGTACCTGCTATTTTGCTGAATTCATTTATTGGTTCTAGTAGTTTTTGGTGAAATCTTTAAGGTTCTCAATATACAATATTATGTCATCTGCCGATAATGATAGCTTTACTTCTTCCTTTCCGATTGGAATGCCTTCTTTTTCTTCGTGTATGATTCTTGTGACTAGGACTTCCAGTAATATATTGAATAAGAGTGCTAACAGTGGCCCTGGCTGGTGTGGCTGAGTGGATTAAGTTCCAGCCTGTGAATCAAAGGGTCGCTGGTTCATTTCCCAGTCAGGGAACATGCCTGGGTTGCAGGCCCAGTCCCCAGTAGGGGGCTGGCAAGAGGCAATCAGACATTGATGTTTCTCTCCCTCTATTCTCCCTCCCTTCTTCTTTCTAAATAAATAAATAAATAAATAAAATCTTTTTTTAAAAAAAAAGAGTGGTAACAGTGGTCATCCCTGTCTTGTTGCTGATCTTAAGGGAAACACTTTTAGTTTTTTTCACTGAGTATGATATTAACTGTGGGTTTGCCAGATATGGCCTTTATGATGTTGAGGTATATTTCTTCTATTCACATTTTGCTGAGATTTTATAAAATCATTAATTGGTACTGAATTTTGTGAAAAGCTTTTTCTGCATTTATTGATAAGATTGTATGATTTTTATCCTTCATTCTGTTTATATGGTGTATCACATTAATTGATTTGCAGATATGTATCAACCTTGGGTCTCAGAAATAAATTGCATTTGATCATGGTGTATGATCTTTTAATGTATAGCTGAATTGTGTTTGCTATTATTTTGTTGAAAAATTTAGTGTCTCATTACATCAGGGATTTGGGTCCAAAATTTTCTTTTTTTCTTCTGTCTTTTGCAATTGTACAATAATGCTTGCCTTGTAAAATAAGTTAGGAGTCTTCCTTTCTCTTGAATATCTTTGAAATATTTTGAGAAGGGTAGGTGTTCTTCTTTAAATGTTTGTTAAAATTCATCTGTGAATCCATCTAGTCCAGGAGTTTTGTTTGTTGGGAGTTTTTTTGTTTTGTTTTTTTAAATTTCTGCTTCAATTTTTTTGGTTATTATCAGTTTGTTCCTGTTTCCTTTGATTCAATTTTAGAAGATTGTATGTTTCTAGAAATTTATCCATTTCTCTTAGATTGTCCAATTTATTGGCACATAGTTGTTTATAATATTTTCTTATAATCTTTTGTATATTTGTAGTGTCAATTGTTACTTCTCTTCTTTTATTTCTGATTTTATATATTTTGGCCTCCCCTTTTTTTTTCTTGATGAGACAGGTTAAAGCAGGAGTGTCAAACTCATTTTCACCAGGGGTCACATTAGCCTCGTGGTTGCCTTCAAAGGGCTGAATATAATTTTAGCACTGTATAAATGTAACTACTCCTGAACAGTTAAAGGGAACTCAGTGCCGTTGCTGGGTAGAAACAGGATAAAACAAGGTGCATGGCCGGATTCAGCCCTCAGGCCTTCGTTTGCCACCTGTGGGTTAAAGGTTTATCATTCTTGTTTAGCTTTTCAAAAAACCAGTTCTTGGTTTCACTGATCTTTTGTATAGGTTTTTTTGGACTCTATTTTGTTTATTTCTACCCTGATCTTTATTATTGCCTTTCTTCCAGTCACTTTGGACTTTGTTTGCTGTTCTTTTTCTAGTTTCTTAAATTGTAAGATTAGAGTGTTTATTTGAGATTATTCTTGCTTCTTGAAGTAGGCCTGAGTTGCTATGAATTTCCCTCTTAGGACTGCTTTTGCTGTGTTCCATAAATTTGGATTGTTGTGTTCTTCTTTTAAGGTTGTCTCGAGGTAGTTTTTGATTTCTTCTTTGATATTACTGTTAACACATTCATTCTTTAGTAACACGTTATTTAGCCTCCATGCTTTTGTGTTTTTCAGTTTTTATTCTTTCATGATTAATCTCTAGTTTTATACCATTGTGGTCAGAGAAGATACTTTATATAATTTTTTTAGCTTTACCTGAGGACTTTTTTATTGCTTTTATACAGAGAGGAGGGGGAGAGAGTGCCAGAGGAACATTGATTGACTCTCAAAGCATCCTGAAGGAGTATTAAACCCATGATCTAGGTATGTGCCCTCACTGGGGATCAAACCCCCAACCTTTTGGTGTATGAGATAATGTTCCAATTAACTGAGCCACATCTGCCAGGGCAGCTGCTTAATATGATTTTAATCTTTTTATATTCATTGAGACTTGATTTGTGTCCTTACATGTGGTCTATTTTAGAAAATATTCCATGTATGCATGAAAAGAATGTATATTCTGCTCATTTGTGGTGAATGTTCTAAAAATATCAATTAAATCCATCTGGTCTAGTGTGTCATTTTAGGCTGCTGTTTCCTTGTGGATTTTCTGTCTGGAAGACCTATTTATTGATATGAACGGGGTATTAAACTCTCCTACGATGATTGTATTACTGTAGCTATTTCCCTCTATATTTATCAGTATTTGTTTTAAATATTTAGGTGCTCTTATTTCAGGTGCATAAATGTTTATAAGGCTTATATCCTTATATTGGATTGATATCTTTATTATTATGTAATATCTTACTTTTTTCTTATTATCGCCTTTGTTTTAAAGTTTATTTTGTGTATGATAAGTATTGCTACCCCAGTATCTTTTTCATTTGTTTCCATTGGCATGAGATAGCTTTTTCCAGCCCTTTACTTTCACCCTGTGTGTGTCTTTCGTTCTAAGGCAGATCTCTTGTAAATAGCACATACCATATTTTGCCATGTATAATGTGCTCCCATTTAAATATGCATCCATGTTTTTCTGTGCATTATGTACAGGATTATTATATCCATTATTATACACATGTATGCAATCATTATACCCATGTATATTGTGCATCCTTATTTTTCCCTAAAAAATTTGGGAAAAAAGTGTGCATTTTACACAGCAAAATACAACATATGGGTTTTGTTATTTTATCCACTCAGCTACACTATGTATTTTGACTGCAGCATTTAATTCATTTACATTTACAGATTATTGGCTAGACAAGATGGCAGCATAGGTAAACACACTTGCCTCCTCACACAACAACATCAAAATTACAACTAAACTAGAAAAACCATCACTCGAGACTATCAGAAATTGAATTGGATGGACGTCTGACAACTACAGAATTGAAGAAACCACATCCATTCATACTGGAGGGAAGGCATGGACATGGAACAGTCTGGCCCCACACCCACATGGATAAAAATTCAGGAGCGATATCTCAGGAGTGGGGAGTCCCAGGCCCACACCAGACCCCTCAGCCCAGGACTCCAGTGTTAGGAAGATAAGTCCCCAAAACTAATGGTTGCAAAAACCAGCAGGGTTTGAATCCATGGAGGAGGCTGCTGGAGCCCTGAACAGTTCCTTTTGGGGAACCCACACACAGATTCACCTACTCAGACTCACTCCCTCTGAGCTCCAGCACTATGGTTGAAGCTTAAAGGGCACCAGTGGTATACAGGGAGAGACTGAAGTGCCTAGCATTGGGGCAAGCAGAGGCCATTGTCCCTTTGCTGAGCCCTCCCCCACCATGGAGCCTGTAGGCTGGTGTCCCATCTGAGACTTCATCAACCTGGTTAAAACTGTGACCCACCTTGGAGATTCATAGAGGCTCTATTCCACCCAACTTATGGGCCCACCCAAGCTGCTTTTTCATAAGAATATCTGGTCTTGGCTTCTAAAGCCTATCAAACAAGCAACAGCTGGCTTCAGTGGGCCCTAGCAGCAGCCATATTAGTTACAGCTTAGCTTCACTTGGGCATCCCCAAGCCTAGTACAAGTAGCAGCCATCTCAGATTGCTTTACAGCTCAGGTAGAATGCCCCGGGCAAAACACAGGTGGGGGCTTGTATGTTGGCCTGACCATCTGGGAAACCCCAAGGTGAGTGCACCCACGGACAGCTAAAGATGATGTCAGAGCACCACCACTCTGCCCATGAATAGCTGATCCTCCATGGAGGGTAGCGGGCAGTGGTCAGTGGTCATAGCCAGTCTTTGCAGCTCACTTGCCTGGGTAAATCTTCTCTTTGATCTGTTGACAGCAACCAAGGCTCAACTACAAATGGAGGGTATACTCAGACCATGCAAAGGATGTGCCTCGAGTACCCAGCTTAGGTGATAGGGGAGGCCTATCACTATTACATGTAATACATAGTAAGAAACACAGGGAAGCTGCCAAATCAAAGAGACAAAGAAATGTGGCCCAAATGAAAGAATAGATCAAAACTCAAGAAAAAGAGCTACATGAAATGGAGCAATCTATCAGATGCAGAATTCAAAACACTGTTTTTAAGGATGCTTGAGGAATTTAGTGAGGAAATCAGCAGCATAATAAAGATCCAGTCAGAAATGAAGGATACACTAATTGAAATAAAGAACAATTTATAGGGAAATAATAATGAAATAGATGAAGCCAAGAATCAAATCAATGATTTGGAACGTAAGGAAGCAAACACACACACACGCACACAGAAAAACAAGAAGAAGAAAGAATTTTAAAAAATGAGGATAGGTTTGGAACATAAGGAAGCAAAATGCCAAAGGTTAAAAATAAAGAAAGACCTTTAAAAGCAAGAGAAAAGAAGTTAGTTACTGGAAGGTTGCCAAATGAGAGGGAGATGGGGGAGAATTGGTGAAGAGATGAGGGGATAAAGAAGTACAAGTAGGTAGTTACAGAATAGCCAAGGAGATGTAAAGTCCAGTATAGGAAAGGGAGTAGCCAAAGAACTTGTATGCATGACCTGTGGACATGGACAGTGGTGGGAGGATTGCCCAAGGGAGTAATGGACGCTGGGTGTATGGGGGGCAAAGGGGAAAATATCAGGGCAACTGTAACAGAATAATCAATAAAATATAATTTAAAAAGTGGAATAAAGTTACGGTAATTAAAAAACAAGAAATAAACTGATTATTGATAGGTACATATTTATTATAATTTTATTTCTTATTATTAATGTTCCTTTTATTTTCCTTATTTTAAAAGAAGTCCCTTTAACATTTCTCGTAATACTGGTTTGGTGGTAATGAAATGCTTTAGCTTTTGGTTTTCTGGGAATCTCTTTACTTCCCCCTTTAATTTTAAATTCTGGCTTTGCTGGGTAAATTAGTCTTGTTTGTATGTTCTTGCTATTTTTTTTAATCCTCACCTGAGGATATGTTTATTGATTTTATAGAAAGAGGAAAGGTGGGAAAGAGAGAGAGAAACACTGACATGGGTGAGAAATATCAATCAACAGCCTCCCAGGGATTGAACCCTGACCAGGGATTGAACCCACAACCTACATATGTGCCCTAAACTGGAATTAAACCTGCCACCTTATTGTGTACAAACAAAGTTCTAATCACGTAAGCCACCTAGCCATGGCCGTAGGCTCTTAATTTTTATCACTTTAAATATTTCCTGCCAATCTCATCTGTCCTGAACGGTTTATGATGAGAGATCAGCTGACTGTCTTATGAGAGCTCCCTTGCAGGTACATTGTGAATAATGTTACTATGAACATGGGTGTATGAATATCTGTTCAAGTTTTTGCTTTCACTTTTTTGGGGTATATACTCAGAAGTAGGATTGTTGGATTGTATGGTAATTCTATTTTTAAATTTTGGGGAAATGGCCATATTATGAATATAGTCAGTACCATTTTACATTCCCCACAGTATTATACAAGGATTATAATTTCAGAACATCCTTACTAACACTTGTTTTTTGTTTGTTTATTTTAATAGTAACCATCCTAATGGATGTGAGGTGCAACAGACTTCCTTTTAAAATCTAAGTACATCTGCAACTACATCTAAGCACCCAACTGTGTGTTTTTATCCTGAAAGACAGCCAGTGTTACTGAGGTGAGCTTCTGGAATTTGTTTCCTGGCTTAGACACTTCATCTCACTCCATCTGCCTTCTCCTAGCAGAGCTCCACCAGCTACTGTTGAACAGCTTTAGTGGTGTAAATTCTCATGATTTCTGGCCCCCAGCTGCTTGGCAGCATTAAATATATACTGCAAACCTTACTTTCCTCTCTTCTCCTGGAGCTATGGCACATTCTCTCTGCTAGCCCAAGGCTGGTTTTTCCAGAGTCTTATAGGTCCAGCTCCTCCCTAAGATTTTATGGTTCACAAAATGCACCTGAGGGAAGCTATGCAAGGTTTACTTTCAGGAAAGTGATAGTATAGAGGTAATAGGCAATCTGAGTAAGTTCTTAAAATAAGAGAGTGAGGACAGGTTTTGAAGACTCCTTACAGTGCTGGCAACAGAGCTGAGTCAAGTAATACCTGGCAGGCTCCTTCCCCAGCCACATGCCCCTTCGCCCCATCAGCTCGCTACCCCCGAGTCAAGCTCTGTTCTTAGGGAACTTTAGTGTGGATCATTTCAATCATATTGCAGGTAGTTATAAGGATATTTCTAAAAATTTATGTGTAGCCTAATAAAAGAGAAGCTACGATGTAAACATTTTTAATTTCACTATTAACTGTTACTCTGGGCAAGTCAGTAAACCTCAGTACTCTTGTGTTCTCAGCTATGAAATGAAACAATTGGACAAGAAATATTTTTTTTTAATCCTCACCCAAGGACATTTTTTTCATTGCTTTTAGGGAGTGAGGAAGGGAGAGAGAGAATTATTGATGTGAGAGAGAAGCATTAGCTGGTCGTATCCCATACTCACCAGGACAAGGGATCAGTGCCAGCATGGGGATCCCGGAGTCTGGACCGGGGGTCACACACACCCACACCTGGACTGTGGATTGAACTGGCAGCTTTGGTGTGTGCCCTGACTGGCACTTGAACCTGCAACCTTTGGGTTATGGGATGACACTGAAACCAACTGAACCACACCAACCAGGTACAGATAAGAAGTCTTTAAGGGCCCTGCCAGTTCAAAATAATTTTAATTCCAAAACTAACTTTGGATTATCCAAAAAACATTTCCTTTTAGTTTTAGCAATTTTAAAATATATTATATGTATATTTTATATTTTTATCTTGGATGTAACCACCCATAAGGTTTTGTGTAGTCTATATTTAAATAAGTTAGTGTTTCCTAAGTATACCTCAGGCAGAACAGGTCACTTGGGGTTATACTGGTTTAAGTTTAAGAAAACAGTAATCCACCAAATGGATAACTCACATATGATCAAGAACTGGAAGGCTGTAACTAGTCTGTAAGAGGCCTGAGAGTCAGAAATTCTTTTTCTGCCTTCAATAGTGACTTCATTAGTATTTAGTATATCTCTGAAAACTCAGAATCGGATAATCGTTGGTGTTTGTTCTCTGCCAGAAAACTGTATATTTGTGTGCCTGCCTTTGCAGGGAGATGTGACTTCTCAGTTATTTACTTTATCCTCCACCACCTCCAAATACTTTTTTTCTAAAAACACACCAAAAGTGTCACTGGTTTAAATACAAGTATAAAATGCAACAGAAACAAAATATATAAAGTGTGTGCTCAGTGGTACTTAGTCTATAATTGTTCTTGTATCACTTCCTTTTACTCACTATCAAATTCACATTACAGAAAGATGTAAAGAGACAAGATTCAGAATTGTCATTATTTCCCACAGTATCACTGTGACTAAAAGGTAATGAGCCTATTATTGTTGTAGACTATGAGATGTTTTAAAGGGTTTCCCAGGCTGCTGAGAATCATTCCAGGACACCTAATCAAGGAGAGTGAAATCTGAATCACCCAATTGTTTCTGACACACATTTTGATTGACATCACCAGGCATTTCTTAGAGAGTAGAGTAAGCCGTGGCCCACCTGCTAGTCAGGTTCATTCTCACCAATTTAAATAATATTCATTTATTGAAAGTAATCCTTAATTCTTATGTATTCACTCATTCTATATTCTGGATAAACTTTAAAAATGAAGTTAAACATGCTGCCCTGATTTGCTCTGTATGTTTTGACATACTAGTAGCTGTTAGTACAAGCAGAAGAGAATATCATAAGTAATTCTCAGTTTTTAAACCCTTTAAAACCCATTTTGGTAGCCTACAGTGTACGGGATAAAGTAAATTACTTTAATGATTCTAAAACAAAGTTTACAGATTCTTTATGTTTTAAAAGTCCACATTATCAACTCCATCAGTTAAAGTAAACTTGCAGGAAACAAATAACTACCTATTTTAAGCATAAGCACATTTAATACAGGGAATTGGGTGTTTACAGAATTGTTGTGGAGGCTTATTCTGCATCCTTTCTAATGATCTCCAAAACATCACCACAGAACCGTCCTGCTGGAGGAGTGTCACAGTCAGGAAAGTGGGGCATCAGGACCTTGCTCTGGAAGCATTGAGTTCAAGAGCACACCTCTAAGACTCTGACCCAGAGATCAGGAAGCTGCTAATTTAATTACCTTTTGCTATCTATAAAGGTAATCTCTGGACACTAGGTAGGACACTGCCACAGAAAACCCTGGTAATTCCATGAACATCACTGTTAACAGCAACAGCTAAGAACATGAGAAGGTGGTACCTGCCTCTTTTGCTTTCCAAATCTTGCGCAATGCATGGGATTGATGCAATCTATTTCATATCCAGAACCATCTGCAAAAGAGTAGAAGAAGTGTCAGATTTTTAAAAAACACAAATAATCATTATTATTGTCATAAGTATCACAAAGGCAAAGCACAGAATATAATGACAACATAAAACAGGGTAATCTGTTGCAGGGGTCAGAGACATTTTTCTCCCTGTATCTTTATAATAAATTATATACTCTCTTTTACATCTTGCCTTTTTAAATTTAATAGAATATCTTGGATATTATTCTATATCAACACATAATTAGCTTTTACATTCTTTTTTAATGACTACAAAGCATTCTCTGTTATAGATGTACATAACTTATCTTACCATTTCTCTCTCAGTGAACATTTAGGCAGTATCCAGTCCTTTGTTATCAAATAATGCTGCAGTGAATGGCCTTGTATTTACAGAACTTCACATTCGTACAAGTATATCCACGGGGTAAAAGTGGAACTGCTCAGTCAATGGGCATGTTGTTTTTAAAGGAAACATGTTCTTTTATTCATTAGTTCATTTTTTGAATAGCTAATATACAGTGTAAAAAATTAAAAGAAACAAAAAAAAAGTAGATAGTGGAAAGCAGCTTTCTTCATAATCTCTCCAGAGGTATTTTATGCATATACAAGGACATAGACACACACATATAAAACATATGAACATATATAGTAATGTGAAGATTTTCTCTTCTTTTAGTATTTTTATTTTATTATTTTATGCTATTCTGTTCTATTTTATTTTTATTTTATTTTCATTGTTGTCAATGAAGTCCAGGAGATTTTGCCAAGACATAGAGAGACCCCAGCCTTCAGAGTACCATTGTGTTCTCATCAGTCCATTTTTATTGCCCATGCATAGGCTTTCACTGTGCCTGTATAGTTACTCTGGAGGCAACGGCAGCTATAGATCTGGGCTGTTCACAGTCCTTGGCCTTGGATTTTCTAAAAAGACATTCTATGTTTTGTGTAGAGCAGTCATTGAGGAGTCCACTTTCTTGGTATCTAACAAATTCCCTTTACCTCTCTGCTGTGTTGAAGCTGCTGTTTCATGTGGCCCATTACAGGGTCTGGCACAAATAACACCCTTATTTTATTACAAAATCTTTTATTACAAAATCATAAGCATGTAATTCTGTAACATAACAATAACATACTCAAGCACACCATCTGACGTCTTAGGTGGAATGTTCAAATGAAAACTATAAATTATTATACTCATGTTTTTACCCTACTAACCACACTCAAGCAGGCCTTACTTCTGCCAGACCTGTATACTCCTTCTTGCTTTACTTACACATTTGATGGAGCATATTTTTCTAGCAGTTTTCTTAAAAAAAAAAAAGGGGGGGAGTGGGGTATGTAAAAGATAAATTTTTTGAAATCTTAGATGTCTGAAAGTGTTTTTATTCCACCTTCCCACTTAATTGATAAAGTGACAATATAGATTTTAGATTAGGAATATTTTTTCCTCAGTTTCAAAGCCTTTGCTCTATTGACTTCAAGTTCTAAGTGCTGCTGTTGAGAAATCTGAAGCTGTTCTGAATTCTGCTTTGCGACTAATTTTTTTAGTAGAATTTCTTCTTTGTTCCCAGTGAAACTTCATAATGCTATGCCTCTGTGTGAGTCTAATTTTCATCCATTCTCTTGGGCATCCAGTAGGTCCTTTCAGTCTAGAAACCCTGGGTATTCTCTTAAATTATTCATTGCTGCTTTCTTCCCCTCTGTTATTTAGATACTGGATCCCCTGACTGGGCTCCATTCTTATCATTTTTCTCCTATTTTCCTTCAGTCTTTTTGCTCTATTTTCTGGGAAATTTTTCCAACTTTATCTTCCAAAATTTTTATTAAGTTTTTTCATTGCTGTTTTCATGCTTTCAGTTTCTAAGAGCTCTTTTTTTGTTTTCTGAATTTTTCATTGCACTTAGTATGCAGACTCTTCTCATCTTCCTAAGGAATTAATATAATTTTTTAAAAGTATGTTTTATTTTTCCTGAAAGGGTTCTTCTCTCTAAGTTGCTTTTTTAAAAAAATTGTTTGCTTTATTTAATCTTTATCTTCTACATTAGGATCTTTCTTCAGATGTCTTGTAATTGTTAGTTGTCTGTTCATGATTTATTTCTGTTGCTGTTCATGATTTAAAGTGAGGGACTAATTTTGGGGGGTGTTGGGAATATTCCATCTTGTGTTAAGGGTGTGAGTTACAGAGATGTGTGCATTTACCAAAATTGCTGAGTACATTTAAGATCTTTGCATTTCAATACTATATATCAATTATAGCTCCAAAATATTTTAAAAAGCTAAAAACAAGTGA